AAAATATTATCAGCTTGGCTGACGACACTGTTATCCTGTATACAGACGAAACATGGGACATATGGAAAAAAAAGTAGAAACAGATCTGAAAATTATATTCAGTTGGTTTTGTCAAAAAAATTGTAACAGTAGGAGCTACTTTCGATACCACTTGTTGCGTATTCTAATGAATATATTGAAAAAAAGAGGTATATGACAAATCCCTTGGTAACGTTACTTATTGCCGGGGGTATGGAATTGAAAGTTGATTATCAATTCGTGAAATCAAACTCGGCAAGATTCATCTTTGAACAAATCTCGAATCCAACGCAACAGGGGTCTAGAAACCACCAAACTGTCGTAGTTTCTGTAGACATCTTTCATGCGGGTCTTTATCAAATCCTTATTTAACGTCAGGATAATTCTGAACTATCTGCATTTTCAAAAACAGGAGTACTAATTGTTCGTTATTTGAAAATGTATCTGTTAATTTAGCCAAAAGGTTAGTGGGTTTTGATTAGCATTGCGTCAGAAATAGGTGACATTTTGCATTTTGTTACTTTATATGTATCTGTATCCGTAGAGTAGGGAGGGTGAGTGTAAGCCCACGCACTTAGGCCATATGTGACCCATTGTATATCCTCCCGAGGAGTTTTTCTCCTAGGTCATCGTCCATCCTGTACTTTCCAGGAAGGTGGACATCTCCTTTATATCGGCAGGTGTAGGTCAAGACTCGCCGAACACACACTCTCTTATTGACGATAACTCCGGGCACTCGCACAGGGCATGCCTGACAGTCTGATCTTTCTGTTCACACATCCTGCATAGAGGTGTGTCCACTAGCCCCATATATGTAGGTGTTTCCTTAGCTGACAGTGGCCAGTCAGAAATCCCTCTGTAAGGCGTAGATTTTTCCTGGTCATCGCCAGATATTTCTTCGGCGTCAGCTTTCCAGGGTCGCCCAAGGTGATCCTGGCAAGATTACATCCCATCTCTTTAAGGATTGAGCATGGGTGTAACATTTGACTAGTTCCGCAATTGTCGAAGTCATCAGGCCGTGGGTGCCACTGGATCCTAAAATTCTTAGTCCAGCTGCTTCCTTGGCTAAAGAGTCGGCAATGCGATTACCTTTACTCCTGTCGTGCCCTTTAACCCACCTCAGGATAATGTTATCATCTACCGAGGCTTTGGCTAAATCTTGGTGGCACTCTAGTGCTAGCCCCGAAGTAACACGCTGTCTGTTCAAGGCTAATAGTGCTTGTCTGCTATCAGTGCAGAATATATTTATAAAGAGTATTTGTTGATTTTTGAGCTGTAATATTTCTTTCGAAGGTAAAGTTTCATTTTTGAGCTTCATTGTCATTATCAGTTGTATATTTATGTCAAAGTATCTGTCAATGCCTTTTTAAAAATGATCTATTGTGGAGAACCAAAATGAACTATTAGAATTGATAATATTGCCAATGTTACTGAAGAATACAAATGTTTCTATGATTTTTTTAACAAAAATGAATTGTTGGATTACTTACCTTTACATCATTATCAATTATTGTCAATGTTTGGGACATTAGAAATGAAAAAAATATAGCAGAAAAAGGAATAAAGAAATTCCAAATTGTAGAAACGAAAACGTTTTCGTCTCAGCAGGTTAAAGTAACAGGAAATATGACCAGTAAGTCCCCCTTCAAAATAAAATCAACCTGTTCAGGTGGTTACTGCTAAAAATAAGGTTAAATTTTCCAAAACTGACTTGTTTCATTTTTGCCCCCCCCCCAGTATTGTTATCGTTAGCGTTGATGTCAACTACTATATCCCTCAGCCGTTCTTTCAATAATAACGACTATCACATCTGGTATGCTGTTTATTATCGTTCCATAAATCAGATTGCGACACCAATTTCCCATTAAACTTTCATAATAGTCGTAACCAGACTTCGTTTATTTTCAGTGGATATTTAGTGGTCATCGAAAAAGTATAGTGATTTACTCATCAAAAAATCATTTTATGAAACCAAGACCCAAATGCTATTGCACTTTATTATTATGTACCTACATAGGTACCTTCGTAAAATTACTTTTGAATGTTACAGTCAACAAATTATCAAATCAATTTCGCTTCAGGTCATTACTCGTCGATGATTCATAAGACCATGGTTATTGTGTGTTTACTGAAGTGATTAAAATGTGACAAATTCAGTTAAAATGAGTACCTACGTACCTACATCATTAATAAAAAATGATACTTCGAAAATTTTCAATGCAGTGGTAAATTGTATACTCAGAAACGAGATTGAAAAAGTATATTTTCATTATTTATGAGTTCACCAAACACGGATAGTGTTATTAATTTTCATCAAGTAAAGGGTAAGTCACTGTCCTCAGACTGAACGCTGTCCTCAATGATAGACATCGATGTTTCGGACTAAGACACTTGTCTTATTGCCTCTTCAGCGCCAATATGGAAAACTGTACAAAATAATGCACTCAATTTATTCATAACATTTCGACTTCATGTCATTGATGTGTTAAATCTACGTAATGACATTCATTGTTTGATTTAATCTCAGCCAAAGGAATATTGTTTCTGATAGTAACTTTTATTCTTGATCTACACATCTTTGTGAATAGTTTCTTTTGAAATCAATCGTTTTCCTCCTTCCTTTGGAACTTCAACAACACATTTTTATAGTTAACCAAAGTTTCAGCCTAATATTTTTTCCAACAAACGTTTGACGAGGTTTTATACATTTAGATGATTTTTTTATATGTGAACCGATTGTTATAAATCAAAACCTGATATCTTCTGAAAAATATACCTCTTTTGATTGAAAAAATGGTAAGTAAATAAAGCAACTAACAGGACAACAATTCTCCTTACAAAAATGAAGACCCCCCCTAATAATAGTTTTTCCTTTCCACGTACAGACAGTGTTCAGTTTTATCATGTGTATTAGTAGACTCCAGAGTTTTATATATTTCACAAGAAACATTGATGATTATATTGACCTGTTTTCTGAGAAGTTATCTGAGTAATTTGAATAATATGCTTGAAGTTCACACATTATTCGCACACAAGTTGTTATATAATATCAATCTCAACATTATTGCAATTTCAAAGTTTATATGTTGGTCATATGGAAATAAGAAATAGGAATCATGTAATAAGTCAATCCGTAGGAGTGTCAATACTTTATATTCTGTAATAGTTTTGTACAAGGTTAGCAAAAATTATTATTTTATTTCAATTAGGGGATACCAAAATCGCACATAGTTGGACAAATCTGTGGTTACATTCTTCTTGCATATTGCAAATATAGACTAAAGTGGCTTCCAATTTGATTTTCCCACCCATTTACATTTTGTATCCACCCCGAACTATGATTTGAAGTAACCTCATAGAAAAAATCCTTGGGTGTAAAATCTGGAGACATTGGGGGCCATTCTATCGATTTTAATCTACCAATCTACCTCGTAGAAGAACAACTATTTGCAATTTCGAAAACAATTCGTGCAATGTATGACCACCAAATTTCCAGTTGGTAAGTTAGGATTGTTGATGAAGTTTGGCTTGCACTGAAATTTCAAGCCTTATGTAAAAACGTGCATGAGAATAATGAATGTATTTCTTAAAAAGTTCAAATTTTGAAGCATACACTAGTAAATAGGTCATTGTGGTCAAAGAAAGATCAATTTCATGGCAATTCACTTATAGTGTACCGAAGCAAGAAATCACCTTTCACGCTTAGATTGTTTTTAAGAAAATTATGGAAACACGAAAGTATTTCACGTACCGTAACCAAGAATATCAAATTTTATAGAAAACAAAACTGAATTCAGTCATTTTCAATGATCTACAAGTATTTTTCAGTGCTTGACTCCCGAAAGAGGACATAAAACAGCGCGAGAACTGAAATAGAGGTGGAATAAAATTAAAATTCTACTTTTAATGAATTGATGCATGTAGCCGTGCTAGATCACCATGAAAAATGAAAAATACCACTTGTATTTGTGACTAACGTTACTGCAGTTTCGTCCCATAAGAACGTTTTCAAACGAATACAATAAGTTTATTGTATTTGTGTTAAAATGTTCCTATAGAACGAAACTGCAGTAACGTTAGTTCCAAATACAAGTGGTAAAAAAACATAGAAAGTTTCATTTCTCATTTTTCTTAATTCTAGGTTTTCTAATCTTTTACATTTTGTCGATATGGAAAAAAGTTATTGAAAATGTTGTTTTTGTTGTGACAGGAATCAAGAATGTTTGTAGATGAAATACATCATCAGGGCTCAAACAACAAAACTGGTGTAATTGAAAAGATAAGAATTTTTTCATAAGTGTCAAAATAAAAACAGAACAAAGAACTGAAAAACATTAGTATCTTGAAAATGTCCGGTACAAAGTATAAGAAAATGTAGATATCTCTAACACAGAAGAAACAGTTCCAAAATTTTCCTATATATCCTGAATCAATAGAAGTACAGTCGATTTTTACTATCAATACTACTGTAAAATGGGCACCATAATAGTCATAATAGAATAACCCTGTATAATAGAAAGTTATGGCGAGTGGACTTTCCTGTGTGTCACTCCCAACTGAGCTAAATAATCATATGATAGAATCAAGACGATTCCAGGAATATCTAACCACCTGCGGTATTGCGATTTCCAGTTTACATTTCTGAAGAATTGAAGAATTCATCGTTACGTTACTGCCTATTGAATTCTCTGAAAATTATCGCAGATACTGATCAGAAACAGTTCTTAAAAACGTGATGTGATTCATGTATTTTGTCTTCAGATACCAGACAAAATAAATCTGTATAAATTAGTTCGATTACATCTCGATATCAATATGAAATTCAATGAGTATTAGCTGACTTTTATTCAGACATTTCTTTATATCCTATTGCTATTTCAATATCTGTCAAGATTGATAAGTTTTATCAATTAAATTTCTATGATTCATAAATTTCTTGGCGTATTTTGTGAATAACCATTCATCAATGTTTATCATTTCAGGCTATAGCATGTTATACTCCAAAAGTCCTGTGGGAAGCCTTCGAAGGGAAACTGATGCAGACTCTAGTTATGGGGCTCAATATTGGTGTTTGCCACGAGAAAGAGAAAAATGCGAAAAAGGAAGTTATTCTTGGATATATCCAGGGACACATGAAGGTAGGTTAATTATTATTCTAGTATGAGGAAGACGTATTTTTTAAACAGAAAAACGATCAAAGAGCGAGTTTCTCATCTTGAGGACAAAACATGCTAAGACAAGAAGCTACGAATCTAATCAAGTTCATAATACACTTACATTTGATAAGATTGACAAATTAAAGTCAAACGTTTCATACTTCAATGTACAGAATTCTGAAATTTATTATTATTGTTCAAACAAAAACTATTAGATCAATCAAAAGTCACTATTTTAGTACTGTTTGATCAAAGTACAGCTTTCGATTTAGTTAATTTCGATTTACTCATCAGAAAGCTCAAGTTCATAGGAATTGATGACATTTCTCTTAAATGGATGACCAGCTATCTCACAGGCCAGTCACAGAGGGTCAAACTGGATGATTACTCATGGTCATCCCTAAAAGAAACAATCTCAGGTGTACCGCAGGGAAGTATTTTAGGACCCTTGATGTTTTCAGTGTTTATTTTTGATTACCCCACTTTATTATTACATTGTCGAGTACATATATACGCAGATGCTTCACAGTTATATTTGTCTTCTCATAACACCGATACAGAAAATTGCGTGGCCAATATAAACACAGATTTGCATAAAACATTCCTATACTCGGAGAATCATGGACTGAAAATCAATCCAAATAAAACTCTGGCCTTATGCATAGGGTCTCAAAGACAAATAGTAGAAACTCAGGGTAACTTCAGGCTCACTCTTGATAACACAGACATTGACTGGGTAGACAGTCCTAAAAATTTTGACGTAACCATAGATAGTTGTCTTTTAGTTTTCATATAAATCATTTTCAAACGCAACACATTCATGAAATATCACCGGGCTACTTTCAACAATTCGAAATGCCAATTTTATATACTGCTTACCTAAGCGTTGAACCTATTAGATATATGTTTTCCGTTAACCAGCTGTCACACCCCTACAATAGACACTCCTCAGAAGTCTGAACTTGTGTGAGTTAAGGACTCACGAAGTCTTAAGTTTCAACGTGAGATTCCTAACACGGTTTGGATGATAACAAAGGAAAATCGATCGTTCAGACTAGGGCTTGAACTACCGACCAACATGGCAGTCAATTGAGTGAGTGAACAAAGCACCCATGTGGAACCGACCGGCTGCCGACCAGTTTTTGAAAATTCTTTGAACGAGTATTTCTAGCCATCAATGTCTAATTATATAAAACGTACCATTTTGTGCAAAGACATACTGTGCTAGAATAGAAATTTCCTGCAGTTACTTCAGCTTAATCAGAGTATGCGAAAAATAAGCAAGTTGAGAGCACATGCTAGTGGACAAGTCTGTAGTAGGGATTCATAAAATTCCTGCTGAAATGTATTCATAACCACAAAAACGACTAAAATTGCTTGTTTGGCTTACTTTTCCCAAGTACATCCTCATACTTGTGGTGATCCTAAAAAATGTAATAAAATCATCTCGTTTTGATTCTTTAGGAATATTACCATCCATAATCTCGAACTAGATTCATCAGATTTTTTCTTAGAGCAATAAAACTACATTCGGAAAAACAGAACGATGTCATTGACATAAAAATAGTGTATCTAATTACGAGTCATACTTCAATGGAAACAACTCATTATCATTACTGATAGGAATTGAATTAACTGGATAATTGAAGAATGATAGTTGAATTTCATTAGTTCGGACTTTCACTGTCTAATAAGATTTGAAATCTCTCAATGAACAAATGAAAGTGAAAATTTAAATGAATAGCCGAAAATAACAAATATATTCAACAAAAAACGCAGAAATGAAATTACAATAGTAGATGAATAAAGAGATTTTCATTACACCGGAAATTCAAGTAGGTAACAGAAGCAATGAAGAACAGTGCGTTTTCGACCGTTTTTCGTGCGTTTTCGATCGTTTTCCGTGCGTTTTCGACCGTTTTTCTGCGTTTTCGATCGTTTTTCGTGCGTTTTCGACCGTTTTTCTGCGTTTTCGATCGTTTTTCGTGCGTTTTCGTGCGTAACCGTCAGATACTTGACCAACTGCGCCACGAAAGCGATGCACGAAAAGCGTCACGCAAAAAAACATTACGCGAAAGCGTTATACGAAAAAACGTTACACGAAAAAAACGATCGTTTTTTTTCGTAACGCTTTCGTGTAACGTATTTTCGCGTAACGCGTAACAAATCCACATGTTTCTAGAAACATATGGATTTGTTTTCGATGGCATTTCAGGTTAGATTCCCAAATTTCTGCTGCCGCAGTTGTCGGTTGATTGGTCAAACCACCAAAACTGACATAAAAAAACTTGGCAGGTTGACTTGGGTGTCACACCAATAGGTGGTTCCACTTATGTTGAAGATGACTTTTCACTCTCATTTTGTCTTCAATCGAGGACCGCCTGCCCGGTACTGCTCAATAGGCTGAAAAAGCTATCTACTGGTGGCTCTTAAATTGAAATCTACAAACAAAAAATTATTATCACCAGAGGAATTTAGGTTGAGTATACATATAAATAATTACCTATTTAAAGTTCCAGGAAGTCCGTAGAAAGTCATTGTCATTTGCCATAAAACGGATGTTTTGTCCACATCCCGTTTTACCGCACAAACGAAAATTAAAGTGACGTTAAAGCGAGTAATAATGAATAACGTTGAAGGAACATTGACGTTTGTGATAAGGTGACAAAATGCAGTTGAGTACTGCGTTTCAAAAAAGCAATTGCCATATGGATCTCTTATCGCTGTTGACCAAAACAAACATATCTCATTTTTCATTTATGAAGGTAACTGAATAGTGTTTTTGTTTATTTCCGCTATAGCCCAGTAAATCAGAGAAATTGGTGGATTTTGTTAGAAATCTACACATCTTTTCTGTTCCTGTAATTCGCCAAGGATATGTCTCTAAACCATAAAACACAGGTAATGACACGACTTACTGACATCTGACTCATTATATACCAGTCTAAATTTGATATAAGCTAAGGTCTAATAAATGTGAAATGAAGAAACATGAATTTTGTGTATCCGTTCAAAATACCAAGGCATCATTCGAATGAGTAAAATCATTTGAAATATTTTCAACTATTTCACTTACAATGCTGGACCTCTTAAGTACTTATTCCAAATTCTTTTCGTTTGCGAAAAACCAAAGAAGAAAAGATCTCGAAACGTGATATTTTCTGTCGATCGTTCAAATCGTGGGGCATTCACTTTTCGAGATTTTGACCTTTCTAATATAGTTCAAGTAAACGATATAGTGCAACCTACCTTCCAACAGCTCCCCTTTAATAATATAGTTAGGGAGCTAACTAATTTCGTTATTCAATAATTTGACGTTTGTTTATTATAATAAATCTAAATACTAGTTTCTTTATCCAATTCTGAAGAGTTTTGTCACAGCAGCTCACGTTATGGCCGGAAGTATTCAATTTCTTCCTTATGATTTCAGTTGTAGAAATCTCATTGCTTTTGTTACAGTCGTATATTGTGTTTTCAATGGTATTATCAGATGAACATCTAAAGATTCTGGTAATCCTGTATCCCATCGCGTCTTTGCGTTCATAAGGTTTGTTTTTGACCATTTTACGTACAGTTGAGAAAGAAATTTCGGTCAAATCTGATGTTGCTTGTAATAGCTTGTTTCCCTCGAAACCAAACTTGAAATGTAGAATTCTTACATACATTGAAATATACTCTCTGTGTTTCAATATTCGTATCCAAATTTTATTCACTGGTATCTCTTTTTCGCATTGTTCACCATCGCTACTAGAATCATTACACTGGAAAAAGACTGCGTTTTGATCACACTCGTTATTACTATTAGTGCTTATCCAAGGACGCCACATTTGAAACAGATAACAAAAATTTTAAGTAATTATAACACGACGGCTCGCATTCTATTCGTCACCGTAACAGTGGATTTATTTCTTTGTATTGGTTTTTTGGCCTTTGAGCTCGCCGATAGCTTTAACTATGCACTATACTGGTTACTTCGACAATACCATTTGTGATGGGTCAGATCTCACCAGGGAATTCGCTCTGGATAACTGAAATCCCCGTAACGAAATTTTGCAAACCGACAATAGAACATCGAACAGTGCCTAGGTAGTTGATTTTTGAGGCTGTTTTGGCAGAGCTTTTGTTCAATACGAATTCATAGAGGAAAGCTGGCCGAAAATCACTCAACGACATCATATAGTAATAACCTGAAAAAATGCAAAAAACTAAAATTTATAAAAACTGGACACCATTATTGTACTAAGTACAAAATTCTCAATCAATCAGTATATACCACGATACAGAAGAATAAATATTTATTGAGATATGGAGCTACAAAACTTTTGGAACAACCTAATAATTGATCAAATTACATAAAACATTTTTCATCTTATAGACTGCACATTTCAAAAAAAAGGTATCATAATTATTGAATATTCAAACAAACGTCATCATCATTCTCACATCGCTAATTTGTTCGGCCTCATTATGTCCAAGGTAATTGACTATGCGTAATGATATTAGAATTCATCATTCACTTACGGTAACATGCAAATTGTTTACGAATTTGAAATACTGTGTTGTGAAATATTATTAAATATGACTCCATTTATTGTAAGAATAATAATCAATTTTAAAGTCACAAAAATATTCATTCGAAATCGGCAACATGAAATATTCTCAAACCTATGAAAAATCACTGAGTTGAATTGATAATCAATTAACTGTTTTGTGACTTTCATATATCACATAGCATTGGCAATATATTTATCGAACAGATGTATTGAAATTACAAAAATTCAACTCTGCTCCTCTTGATACAGAAGTAACGGAAAAACGGCGGTATAGTAATTTTAGAAAATGATAACAACGAATGTAAATTTTGAAACAGAACTTGGAATATTTATGTTTAGAGGGGATTTTCGAAAGCCCTGGAATCAAAACACAAAAAACTGCGCCTTCTACAGAGTTTTTCATCCCGGCTTCACAAAGGCTGATCTTTA